ATCACCAAGATTGGAGAGGCCTCCAAAGGTGCCCAAGTCCAAGACCCTGCTCTAGCAGGGTCAGCTAGAGATGATTACACAGAACTGTGTCCAGTGGGGTTTTGAGTATCTTCAAGGATGGAGAGTCCACAACTTTTCTAGGTAACCTCTTCCAGTGTTTGAACTCCTGCACAGTAAAAAAGCATTTTTTTACATTAAGACAGAATTTCCTGAACCCAAATTTGTGCCCATTGCCTCTTGTTTCTCTCGGCACCCCTGAGGGGAGGCTGGCTCTGCCATCTTTGTTCCCCTCATTGGGTATTTAGACACACCTTGATAAGACCCTCTGAGCCTTCCCTTCTCCAGGCTGAACAGCCCCAGCCCTCTCAGATTTCCTTTGTATGACCAGTGCTCATCACCTTTGTGGCCATTTGCTGGACTCGCTCCAGTAAGTCCATGTCTATCTGATGGGGAAGCCCAGCACTGGATCCAGTGACCTGGTGAAGTGGTGAGATGTGTCTCATCAGTGCAGAGCAGAGGGGAAGGATCACCTCCCTCAACCTTCCGGCAGCACTTTTCCTAAAGCAGCTTGAAAAGGAGATGATTTTATATAACTGTGTTTAGGGAAGTAAGCAAAACAACATAGAACTGGTTTTCAGGGACGCGGCTGGACACAGTTGGTGCTGCCTCCTCCATGGAATTTGGGTCCTTTTTCAGCACAATTGTGAGATCTTCAGATGCACTCAGTTTACTCTTCCTTAGGAACAGCCAGAGTTCTGTTTGTTTGCACTTGGTTCCTTTGAACTCTGAGCATTTGCTGAGGACGCTGGAGGGTAACGAGAGAAGGGGAAAGAAGTAGCCAGTGGGAATGAAGCTGTGTTAGCAACAGTTTGGGTTCTGTAAGTCACGTTTTGCTATTGAACTAAGTTTTTTTTTTCCTTTAGGTCTTTAGTATTATTTTTTTTTGTAAAACTGTGCTCACGCTGGCAGCTTAGTACAAGCAAGCCAAGTGAGAGCTGCAGACCTGATAAACCTGTGCAGAAGTTGCTGTAAGATATTTCAGGGGGAAAAAAAGGTGCTTGGCCAGGAGATTTGGATGATGATCGAGTGGAGAGTGGAGAGCATTTGAAACAGCACGAGCGTGTGTGGGACACATGGTAGCATTGCAGAAAAGTTATTAAAAAAATGATACCAGGTCTTAAAACTGGAGGAACTGTTTGCTTCTTTCTACATGGTGACTTAATGCCCATCGCCTCTAAAGGCCCTGGTCAATCGTATAAAATGTTTGCAAACCCACGCTGCTGAACCATTTTAGGGTAATTCCCTGCTGCTGCTGAAGCCCTTTCCTGCTTCCCAAGCTGGCTGTGATGGGCCTCTTGAGGTCCAGCAGGGCAAAGAGTAGGCAGGTATATCCTCATATTGCACTTACCTGGTGCTGGCACAGCCCGGACTGCTTCAAGTTGGGGATTGGCTGTTTAATAAATTTCCATCTTTTAAATCTGACCTTCCTATGGACCTGTAAAAGCAGCAGTTAAGGTGTTACTTAATGAAGTGTTGGAGTACTAGTCTACTAAGTATTTCTCAAAAGACATGTTCTCTGGGCAGCTGATGGCCTCTGAGCATTTCAGAAAAGGGATGTGTTTTTAAACTCAACCTTCATTGCTGTTGCCACTTGTTACACAACAGTAGAGTTTTAATGTTTTTCTTGATCTCTGCTTTGGATTGTGTTGCCCTTGTTAGTATTAATGAGCATTCTCCTGCCAGAGTAACCTCACTGGGAACAGTATTGACACCTTTATTGATGCCATGTGGCACCCACATACCTGGTTCCTTGTTTATTTTGAATCTCTCTCCCACAATGGTTTGATATCAAAGTATGTTGCTTTTTCTTTTTCTTTCCCCTTTGCCAGAAAACACAACAGAAAAAAAATAACTGTGTTTCGATTGTCATATTGCATGATTGGGAGTATGGAAATTGGAAGCAAATTTATAGTTTAAAATTGTAAAATATACTAAAGAAATGCTTGCAGAGTGATCTTTCCTGTTCTTGAAAACTTAGTGGTTGTGCAGCTGTTCCCTCCTGTCTTTTCCTAATGCATATTCGTAGATTTTCACAAGGAAAATAAATGCATGTTTGCGAAGCCATGATTATAAGTTAATTAAAAATAGTTTTCATTTTAGAAAACTGAATGTGTTTGTGGTAGCATACTCATTGCTAATGGATGACTGTACTTTTTCCACAGTAATAAGAGATTCAATGAAGCTCTAGAAGATGTTAGGATATGATTAACTGGATAATCTATGTATTTGAGTTTTTATTCCCAAACAAGGTGGATCTCCCATAGCCAGAAGTGTGAGTTTATATTTGATAATTATGTGAGACTCTTGAGCTTTCTTGCAGATTGTAATTCAATTCCATAAGAAAAGAGCTTTAAAACATGGAGAAAGAATGAATGCCTCTAATTCCAGGAGGGCATTGTGACCAGCTTGGTCAGCATGTCTCAAACAGAGCCCAGCAGATTATGCACCAGGCTATGCTGGAGCAGCAAATAAAAGTACAGAACCCAGCAGTCCCAAATTATATCTTTCTCAAATACTAGTTTTGTTCTGTGGAAAAAATAATGTCTGAGAGTATTTATCAAAATGTCGGCTGTGGTTTTCATTTACTAGAGGATATTCTATGGTGAAGGACATCAGAGATGGCTGGAAGGTGTTTGGGACTTACCTGGCTACCTGTGGCAGACAAGAAGCTGACCAAAATTAGGGACCTGTATCACAGAAGCAGAAAGCTGGTGTCTTGTTCCTCTGAATCAGATGATAAAAAAGGTTACATGTGGATATGTGTGTCTTTATTAATGTATTCTTAAATACTTACTCTCCATATTCTATAGATGTTCTGTAGTGTTTTATGTTCACAGTATTGAGAACAATACAGGTAACTTTGGAAGATGGAGCTGAGATTCACAGTTCTGTCTGCTTCCACTTCTGCGTAGTGCCAGTTCCAAGGGCCTTAAAGTTAACACAACAAAGACTGAAAAGTTGCTATTACAGAAAAACTGTCGGTCAAAACCACCTGATTTTTGCTCATTGAAGATGTTTTTTTTCGTTGATAGGTGTTGTTGAGTTAAATATTAATGGGGGTAAGAATCCACATGAAGAGTCAAGTGAAAAAACACTTGGCTAAATTAAGAGAGCCAAAAGATGTCTTATGAATCTACCTAAGGTAGTTACCGTAGCTGCTGAGAATCATTAGGGTCCTAGGCAAAGCATGTTGTGACTGCAAAGGGTAACAGAGCTTAAATTAAAAAAAAAAAATGGAAAGGAGAAATAAACAGGCTCCATAAAGACTAAAACAAATAAACCAATCATTGTTTCATGTAAAAGCTATCTGAGTTGGAGCTAGAGAAATAACTGTATCAGTATACTGTAGTCTCCATGGGATTCAAATTCAGATTTTACCAAATTAGGTCAGTGTCATACATGAGAAGATAGGGACTTCAGAGGTAAGGCTAAGGCAGTTGTTCTAAATACTATGAATTGCAAACTAATCGTTTGGTCAAAACTGCTGATTTCTGGACATCTGAGTGTACAGTTACTCCTGTGACAATTAACTGGAAGGTTGAACTCTTGCATATTTGTTCTAAGTTTACCAAAACATGTGAATGGGAGATTGGCAAAGCTTCAGATTAAGTTTAGAGCAAATGGTGTGCTGGCCTTAGCTAACAACTGGATGAGCCCTTGCAGCAAGTTCTTGTAGTTGAGAAAGGTGAAGGAGGAGTGATTGACTTGGCACGTGCTCAAGGAAGGTTCCCATAAAGGAAATTATATAAATATATTGATTTGTTGGAATAGAACAAAGTATGCCCTTCTGAGGACAAAGAAATTTCCCCTTTGAAACAGGGGAATATGCCAAAAGCAATCGATTAATATCAGGAATGGGTGGTCATATGGACTAGAAATCAAGGCATTCAGTGTGGTGCAGTCATTACAGATAGATGCAAAACTGGAGATAAAAATGGAAATGCAAAGCTAGGCTCAGGAAAGAAATTCATCACTTTGCAGTTCTGTACAGGACAAGTTAAGTGTTGTCTGTGATCTGATTAAAAAATAACTGAAAGACATCTGTCATGAAGCAAAGTGTGGCAGAATGGGAAAAATTAAAGAAGAGGATTTTTCTAAAGTTTTCTCAAAGGACGTCTTTGGTGAAATGTCAAAGAACCTGGAAGTGTCTCAAAAGGCCAACATGAGTAATACTGAAATTACTGTATTTATCTATACACGTGTGCATATTTTGTATTTCTGGCTGGTTTATGTTGAATATTTATATGTGTGTATACCAAATGTATGTAATTAATGCATTGAATATCTCCAGAGTTAAAAGTGATGAAATGCAAACTGTCTAGAATGTATCAACTGTGCACTAAATATAAAAATATACATCTATGCATACATATGTGTATCGATACATGTATATGTACAAAGATATAGGAATTAAATTTACTTTTCCAGTTTGGTTTCATCATTTTTTGAGACCAAGTGTGTGGAGTCTTGCATTGTTTCCTCCCAGTGGAACACCTCTTGCTGTACGTTACAAACCTCTCTGTCCACAGCATTGGACCTGTGAGGAATAGCTAATGTGGGTGTCATATCAGAAGAGATTTTCAAGACAAAGAGGAGTTCTGTGGACATCCCTGAGTCTCTAGGTTTTTTTGGTAAATTCAAAGAAAAAATTAAGTAATCTTTTTTGATCTTAGTGTAAAGAAAAGCTGTAAGTTGCCTAATTTTAAGGCAAGTAAGTAGTCTGTCTCCAGACTTTGAGATTCCTAAATGAAAGAAGAATGTTGCCTTTTTTCCAATATTTTCAGCCTCCAGTATTCAAGTATAACTAAGGTTCATGTTCACTAACAGATCTGGGAAGTTGTATTTGAAAGCAGCAGTGAGTACGAGTGGGAAGTTCAATCTTTATGGCTAATTCCAGTTTAATGGCCACATTTGGCTAATTGTATTCATTTATTTTCAAGGCAAAATGGGGAAACAAAACAGCAAGCTGGCCCCTGAGGTGATGGAGGATCTGGTGAAGAGCACGGAGTTCAATGAACACGAGCTAAAACAGTGGTACAAAGGATTTCTAAAGGACTGTCCAAGTGGTAGACTGAACCTTGAGGAGTTTCAGCAGCTCTACGTAAAAGTAAGTTATTTAACTTACTTTAACTAAGTTCCTACTATTTGACTGCAGAAGAAGTTATACAGTAACGTAAGGGAAACATGTGGTCAAGGCTCGATGGTTGTTTAGACTAAGGAATAACTTTGCTGGGAGAAGAAATGGTGATGAGATGAATGGGAAGTACTACCATCATCACACCAGTGATTCATGTAACTCTAGTGACCAGAATCAAAAGTTTAGAATAAGAGCTGTGATTTATTCACAAGAAATACATTCTCTATGCTCTGCAATTCACGGGCCTCTTTCACCCTCAAAGGATAATCGTGGTCGTGTTCAATATAAACCATGTGGTTGCTGAAAATACTTATATGACAGTGGTGAAGTTTCATGGCAGTATGATCTGCACATAAATTATGCACGGTGCACAAAGGATTTCTTTCTATAAATTTTAAGAGTTGTCTTTATTTTTTCCCCCTACTGTCACTTTGTCCTCATTTTATTGGAAAGGCAAAGCAGGCTGATTTGTTTATTTTCTTCTTATTTTTCATTATTTTATCAAGTTCAATTTAGTCTTTTACCTTCAATTATTATGTATTTATTCTGTAACAAGAAGAGTATGGGGGTAGCATAAGAAGTGTATTCATGTTACAAAGAAAATTATATTTTAATTCAGAATTGAGTGTCTGCCTAAAGGTCAGAGACTTCAAAGTAATGTTAATTAGGAGAAATATTGGATGGCAGTGAGGAACAGTAAGATCAGAACAGCTCATAAATACAACGTGAGACTGAATAAAAATAAAAAACCCTTTCAAATGTAAGTAGTTAGTATTGAACACACTGACAGTTTCTTCAGACAAGTGGTAGTATCTTTTCCCTCAAATGCATGCTGCAGTTCTTTCCTAAATTTCTTCAGCCTTGAACCCAATCACTCTGAAAATTATGCCTAGCCCCTTTTTCTTTCTAATGAATGGTCTAGCAAAAACTTCCAACTCCAGTTTATGTAAATAAGCTTCTGTCTTCATATTTTAATATTTATGGCTCACGATGTTGCCTCACAATCCTTTTCTTAAGAAATGAATGACTTTGTAATAAATGTTATTTTCAGATGAAAGAATTTTTACAGCCTCAGGTATTATGCATATTATCAACTGATAATTTATAACTTGCATTTTAAACAGTACTGAGTGGACTTTCAGCAAGAGCAGACATCTTGTCATTTCTCATACATGTTTCTGAGAGAAGTAAATGGACTTTAAAAAATTTCTAATAAAGTGTGTCAGCTCTTTAGCAATCATTACTTTCTTTTTGGCAAATCACAGTAAGCGGATTAATTTATTTTTTTAATAGTTTTTGTGTGCTGTGATAAAAAATATCTTCTGAAAGCAGCTGAAAACTGTTAGGACTACCCCCCCCTCAAAGGGGCATTTGAGGTGTTCATAGATATTTTGCAGGATACTTTACTCATGAAGACATACCAGAGAGTAAATTCAGTATCATGTTTACATAAACGGAAGTGCAAAAAATAACATGAAGAGCATAAGCAGTATTTCACTCTTGAAATTTGAAGACAGCTTTCTAATCTTACTAAACTGCAATATCTAGCTTTTAGTTTTATGGCCTCATATATCTTTAGATATGCACATCAAATACGAATGTCTCCCTTGCTTTGGTAGTTGTGGGTTTTGAGTTTTGTTGTGTAATGGCACTGTCATTTATTTAGTCCAGTTTATTGCCATCCTATATATAATGTCTATACAGGACAAAATACTGATTTTACAGAGGAGAAATACAATTAGCTGTACTAAATCCAGAGCTGTACTTCTCCTTCTGTTGCATAAATACTTGTAAAATAATGTCTCTGAGGAGCTAATAGTCTGAGTGCTGGCCGTGGTGGCGACTTCTCCTGTGTAGGACATTCTGCCTGCTCCAGCTGCTGGCTGCAGGCAAAACCCCAGATGTGAAATTTGATCTTTCCAGGAGGAGCCACCAGCAGGAGACCCAAATCATTATGATTGCATTTACAGCATTTCAGTCCCCTTAAAGCATATGCAGGGTGAAAATACATGAAGCATGTATTGATTTGTAATTCTTCTGCACAAGCTTGTGGTTGGGAGGGATGACATTTATCTCTTGGTTTAAACTGTATTTTATTGAAGAAGATTTCCATAGATCAATATATTTTAAAAAGAAATAAAAGACTTCATTTCAGATTTATGTTTACTTAAGATGATATTGTTTCTTTGTTCATGAGTTGTGTGGTGCACTGTCACATGTATTGATAACAAGGTGTTGGTCGTATAATTAAGGTGCAAAAATAGTTCTTTTTCTTTTAACTCACATGCAGTAGAAAATATCCTCAGCTTAAAGAGCCCAAATATTTTTTATTATATGAGGAGCAATATTTTGAGGTGAATTTCCTTGTTGTCTTCACTTCTCTTCCTTTGTAATTGCAGAGGAGGGGTGTACAATCTTGCAACCTTGGAGACCAGGAGCTGCCTTTTTTTTTTTTTTTTTTTTTTTTTTTTTTTTTTTTTTTTTTTTTTTTTTTTTTTTTTTTTTTTTTTTTTTTTTTTTTTTTTTGGTTAATGAAATGTAACTAGAGGTGTCCTCAGATCTCACCTAATATGTTACTGTATCTAATGCCTACTAATAAGCTTGACTTGGTCTTAAGCAGAACATCCAGAACATGTGTGATGTGGATGTCAGGTCCCCCACACCAACTCTATGCATTTGCATCAATTGTACCGTGCTGTTTACTGATGTAGATGAAGACTGTATTGACTAAAGGGTGAATTACTCTCGTTTGGCTTGGAAACATTTGCTATTGAAGTTTCCATTATGAATACCAATCATCCAGTGCTTAAAATAAATAGCAGTTACACAAATGGACTCTACAGGAAAATTATTTGCAGCACTTTTAGTGGAAGTGTCTATAAAAATACTTATCCAAGAACACCTCTTAAATAAGCAGCTAATAGGTAGAAGCACACTTTATACTGTTACATATTTAGCATCTTCTGCAATATAACAGATTAATTAAAAATATTGGTTCATTTTTGAGTAGAAGGATTCTTCTTGAGATCCAAAATCTGTGGCAAACTGTTAGGGCTCATCTTTCCCTGCATGATACTGAATGACATGAATGCTTCCGCAGTTTTTGAAATAGTTTATTGAAGAACTGGTTAAATACTGCAAGACCAGAGCCACAAAGAGACCTAAATGCTGAAACACTGAGTTAGCTGTCCCGACATTTTGCACAGAGCATGGGAGGGGGAGAAATCCATGGATAACATTGTGATAACATTGTGTCAAGCCAGCATATTGTGAACAAATGTGCAAAACCACTAGGTATTGCTCAGGACAGGAATTGGTATTAAATTTTACATTTCTCCAGGGTATATGTATCTACTTTCATATGGGACTTGCATCTTTCGAACCTCTCCTGCAGAGAACTGTCTAGGACATTAGAAGTCAAAGCAAAAACAAATGACTGGAGTCCTTTTGCTTTCTGTCTTAAGTGACAAAGGTAATGTAATTACCTTATCTTTATCACAGTGGTTTAAATACTCCTTGAGATGTAGAAGAATTTGAATCTATATAGAGGAAGAGCACTGCCAGCAGGTTGAGGGAGGTGATCCTATCCATTTACTCAGCCCTAGTGAGGCTGCATCTGAAGTGTTGTGTCCAGTTCTGGGCAACTCAGTACAGGAGAGACAAGGAGTTCCTAGAGCAAGTCCACTGGAGGGCAACAGAGATGATCAGGGGACTGGAATATCTCCCTTATGAGGAAAGGCTGAGGGATATGGACCTGTTTGGCCTTGAGAAAAGGCAACTGAGAGGGGACCTCATCAATGTCTATAAGTATCTGAAGAGAGGATGTCAAGACGATGGATCCAGGCTCTTCCCTGTGGTGCCCAGCAATAGGACTGAAGACAATGGGCAGAAACTGATGCACAGGAGGTTCCACCTGAAAATGAGGAACAACTTCTTTCCTGTGTGTGACCGAGCACTGGAACAGATTGCCCAGAGAGGTGGTGCAGTCTGCCTCGCTGGAGATGTTCAGGAGCTGTCTGGATGCAGTCCTGTGCCATGTGCTCTTGGATGACTCTGCTAGAGCAGGGAGGTTGAACCACTGTGATTCCTTCCAGCTTTACCCATTTTGTGAATTATCTTGTCCCTATTTGAATCTGCATTGCTCACCCTCTCATTTATCTACCTGTGGGATATCACTGTTTGTGATGCTGACAATATCCCAATTAACCTCTTTTTCTGCATGAAATAGCATCAAACACCTGAAACCTAGAATTTCCCTGTTCAAAGAGAATACCCTAACTGTTGAACTTAATCCTTCATGGCTTTCTTAATTTTCCTTTTTTCTCTTCTAGAAAGTCCTTAATTCTTTTATCTTACATAAAACTTTATTAGCATTGTGAGCAGAGGGCTAAGGAATTAATATACAAAACTGTCATTAAAATAAAATGTACCAATAAAAATTCTGGAGTGTTCCTATCATTCTTTAGTGTTTCTTGCAGTCTAGAGGGCCAAATACATTTTTCTTCAGATCTTTTGAATTCACTGGGTTTAGATGACTATGCCCTAGAGTGTGTAAGTGTGCATAATCACTGCTAATGTTCACAGGAATTATGCATGTTTATTAAGTGGAAAATAGGCTTCTATATTGTGATACTTCTTGGAACTGGGTCACTGAACATGAAAAGCATATCCTCTGCATTAATAACAGAAATAAGCACCAATGGTCCTATAACTGGAAGGGTAGGGTTAGGAGTGATCATAATATAATGCTAGCATTAAATAAAGTAATTTAGTTTGTGAATTTATGGTATCTATATTTTTAGCTATGTTCTAGAATTTTATAGATAACATTTAAATAAATAAAAAGAAAAAGATGAAGAAAAAGTAATGCTACTTGATTAATTACAATCAAATGGTTTGTCATATTTTTGGCTTCTATCTCACATTTCCGGCCTTGAAGGGAATTGATTTCTAGTCCTTCATTTTAATAT